TAACAAAATGAATGTTTGAATATAAAATAACAATGAATAAATCTCGGGTTCGGATATTTATACCCGTTTTAATTACTTTTTGTGACGTTAATTTGTCGTAACTCCGGTGGGTATGAATTTGAATGGATAAAAAAGGGGTGGTGAGCGTCGGGACGTTGAACTTTGGGACGTGAACATCGTTATGAATATAAGGTAGAAAATACTTAAATAGTGCGGAACGTGACATCGTTCTGGACGTAAAAAGGTAAGGCAGTAGGGCGCCGGGACGTTGAACGTCGGAAAGTTAACAGCGTTCGGGGATGGGAGATATTGGAGAATATACGTCAGTTAGGAAGAGCGTTGATTTAGGGAAGGTACTAAATACTGAACTTAAAATATAACTGGATACAAAATAATGAATGGATATAAAATAATTATCTCTAATTTCTGGGAAACGGTTCTTTATACCCGTTTTAGTGACTTTTTGTGACGTCAATTTGTCGCAGCTCTGGGGGAACAAATGTGGGTGGATAAAAAGGGGGGGCAGATTTATTATGTGCCTTGAGAAATTCTCTGAATTTTGTATTGAAATATTGTCGAAATCGGTCTTTTTTTTTTTAGTTTTACACCCTTCAGACTTCCCGTGCTACACCCTAATCCGTCTGTAGTCTGGCAGCACTGCAGCCTGCGGCTTATTGTACCACCATTTGAAAGTCCTACTACTTTCCCATTCACACCCTCATTCATTTTCATTCATTCCACGTCGTCGATGGTTAAAAGCTAGTCGGATGAATCCCATGGTGACACGGCCCATGGTGGAACCTCCCAGCGGTCACCCATTCACGACGTGACCGGAGAGATCACTGCTTAACGGTTGCGAGTAAGTGGATGCACACTAAGCTCGCTGCTAGCCTCTCCGGCCTTAATATTCGAATATAAAAAGATAAGTTCGTTAACTGTTATAATGATTATTACTTCGTGAAAAAAAAATATCTTTATGGAGGTTTTTGGATCAAATTCTCATGGGATAACTTTTCATCTTTTCTGTTATATATTATTAGGGACCCCGCGAACAGAACTATTGCTTTTATTTATTAGGCATTGTAGATAAGGATTTAATTATTTAAAGATTTTTCGTAAAATGTAGGAAATTTAAATTTAATAAGAATGCAACTTTTCTTTAATAAAATTGAATTAATAAATTGTAAAGGTACCTGGGTGAGGTAGGTTACAGCACTAAGCTTTCCCATATCCAAATACGATAAACGCGGTCATATGAAATTCCTACTTTTTCTGCTCTCTCTTAACTTTTTTCTGCGATCATCCATCATGATTTCATGGACTTTTTTAATTGTTTCTTCACCAGTAGCTCTTTTAGGTTTTCAGAACGTGGTGCATTCTCTATGATTGTCCTACGGCGTTTAACTTCAGCAATCCAGTTTGCAACTATTTCATACGAAGAAAAAGGCTCACTATGAGCTGTTTCCGTTTTTATTAGTTTAGCATTTAAATTTAAACCTTTCAAAATAGAAATGTTTTATCACCACATAATCTCGATTTTATTCATAAATAGGAAAATGCAAGAATTGTTTACTTAGATCGATAGTAACGGCGTACAATCTATAGAAAAAGTTGAGAGCAATCTAAAAAATCGCGCTTTTAAAACAAGTGATCAACGTGTGCGATGAGCCGGGGTGCTAAACGCCATCTTCTGGTTCATTTTTAAAACATTCCGATAAATCCACATATGTGATCAAATAAGCGGTTATAATAAAAGTTCGAGTAGGTTTTCAATAACAATTTTATTTTCTACTATTGAGATCTAAAAATTCAAATATATTATCCTAGTTCTAACGCAAAGGTAATAAAAAGATACAACTTGTTAATGAAGATACACATCCATGAAAACCTCAAAATTTTAATAAATGTTTTAAACAAACAAAATTGAGCTTTACAATTTCGTTTTCGCCGCTATTTATTTTTAACGCGTTCCTAGTGTGATAAATACACAAAAACGTAAACATTTGGATTAAATCAACGTTAGTAGGTAAGATAAACCGTTAATCCCTCTTTATATGACAGTTATTACACCATAGTCTTAACATATCGACCGAAATAAACATTTGCGAAATTGTTTTCGTCTTATTTTTGTTATTTTTAAATATAACAAGTACAATGCCCGTTGGATCGTCAGCACAGTGTTTATAAATATAAAATGATCGTATGATATTGCTCTAAAACTGAATATTTTTTATGTCCTTCAACTCAGCTCCAAAAGTATTCGCTTTGAGTATATTAGAAAATTTTTAAATCAAAACCTTCGATTTCCATAATTTAATCAATGAATTAATCAACATTTTTACCTACGACTACTATGGAAAGTAAACAAAAACATACGACTTTTTTACATTTTTCTAGGACATTTTATTATCCTCCTTTTCAGGTCTGCCCTGATTACAATAAGTAACCTATTCCCTAATGTGTCATATGCACTTCTGGGACCTGTGTGGCAGGTTGTGTTCCCCAAAAATATCTCCAGTTTTGCTATTTCCAACATCACAAATGGACAAGTACAATTATAAGGTGGGGAATATGATTTAGGGAAACCACAAAAACCTAAATCACGATATTGTACAAATAGTATGAATTTCTAATTATATGATTGAGAAAGGTCTATCTAATGTTTAGGGGGGCTGATTCCAGCAGATGCTGGAGTTCAGCGGTGAGGGAGAGGTCTTGGGAGTCTGAGAGAAGTCTCAGATTTGGTTGCGCTATTTTGCTTTTCGGTTTTTGAAAAAGTGGGAGTTGGTTTGGGCACCATGGGTTTCGTAGTATCTTGTGAGTGTGTGTTGGTGCCTTTCAGCGTGCGAGAGACGTATTGTTTCCTAAGGGTTTGGAAACGTATTGGAGATGTTTTCGAAAACTTCTCCGCTGGGGGAGGGAAAGGGGAGATATTGGCAACGTCCGAGTATACGTATCTCGAGTATAGTGAATTTATGGAACAAGTGTGGGAAGTACGCCGTAAGGTACAGCTCTGTATTCGGCAACGGGCGCATAAAGGAATTGTAAGTGTGAATAAGGGTGTTTGTATTACAACGTCCCATTCGTCCGCACAAAGCCCCAAGAAGATTGGCTCGTTTTCGCATCTTATCAAGAGAGCGTTGGACGAGAAAATCGTACCCCCAAATAGTTAACTTCAGTCTGTTGAGTGACCCTGACTCCCAGGAGATTTACATTTACGAGTTGGGGGTTCTGGGAGGTTCCTTGAGAATTTGGGTGTTTAAAGACGATGAATTGTGTTTCTGTGGATTTAATGAGATCCTCCATCTGCTACACCAGTGAGAACACTAGTTTAACAGATTTTGGGTTCGAGTATTTAGTTGGTTAGAATTTTTGGAGGCAAGGAGGCAAGGGTGGTTTGTGGGGGGAATGTCGTGAGTGTAGATGAGGCAGAGGAGAGGGGTCAGGACGAAGCCCTGTGGGACACCCGCGAGTGGGGGTGAATGTGTCTGATAGGTAGTTGCCCACTTTGATGGTGATTTTTCTGTCTGTGAGGTAGGTGTGTATGAGTTTGGAGATTGGGGGGGGAGACCTATGTTCATAAGCTTTTTGAACATCTAAGAGAACGGCTGAAGAAATTTGTTGATCATTTACTGCAGTGACCGCAGTAGGGTGAAGGGAGGAGATTGCGTCCTGTGTGGAGTGGTGAGGTCTGAAACCATGTTGGGATTGAGGATGATGTTTCTTTCTTTACAAAATTCCCAGATTCTTTCCTTGAGCAGAAGCTCGAGGAGTTTCCCTAGGACTGATATGAGAGATATGGATGTGTATGAATTTATGGATTTGGGGTCTTTGTCTGGTTTGGGGATCAAAATTGTGTTGGCGGATTTCCAGGCAAGTGGAAAATATGAGAGAGAGAGACAGGAGTTTAGGAGAAGGGTGAGGGTGGGAAAGATGGTTTCAGGAAGATGTTTCAGCGTTCTTCTGTGAATGGAATCGGGCCCGGAAGCCGTGTTTGTGCCTGCTTGGCAAGCATATTGAATGTCTTGGAGGGTGAATGGGGAGGTGAGGGGGTTTTCGACATCCAAAGATGGGACTGGGGCGGCGACTATCTGAAGGACGTATTGTTCGGTCTTGTGTTTGATTAGTTCATCAAATTAGGGTTTGTCGGGGGTTCTGAAGGTGGATTTTGTGTGCTATGGCTTTTTCGTCGGGAGTTGAGTTAAAGAATAAAAAATTAATATCGGTTCTTTTTATTTTTCTTTTCTTTTAATAGAGGTTTTAAAAAAAATGTAATATAATATTTTTAAGGAAACAGATCTGACAGCATGTGAATATGGTCTCGTCAGGATTATGTTGCGTACAAATTTAATGTAAACAATATCCGATATATTTGATAAAGACACACATATCTACCAATAGTACCAATCAACACAGTTTATTTTCTATCTAGTTAAATAATCCAATAATAAAAGACAGGTTTTATTACCTAAGATTTAGTATAAATTAAGCATAAACATAGATTTAAGGATTTCAAAATTAGACTGTTTATATTACAGAAAATTTAATCATAAGCATAGGATTTGACATGTCTTTAAAAATGGAAAGAAGATGTGTGGTAGCTACTTCTGATATTACTCTTCTATCTTACAATTATTATTTCTAGGAAGATGCAGAAAAAGAGTTTGGAAGTTCGACGATTTCAAGTTAGGCCAATAACTTAATCACACTTTTTTTAAATTGTCTGCAGTTCTGGTCATGCACATGCGCAATTGCATTTTTGACGTAAACAAAAGCATTAAAATTGATGTTACTTATTTTCCCAATGTTTATGTTATTTTTGCTTTTTGTGTTATTCTGTATAAACAGATACATTGTATATAACTTTTAAGCTAACGACTATGTTAATGATTATTACTAAATCAGGTTGACTAAAGGCACCTTAAATCTACAACAGTGAAACGTTTTTTTTTTTATTCTAAAATAACACATTTATTTATAATGGTATTTTTTTGTTTCAGCTCCATCGGAAGTTCCAACGTTACAACGGGTGTTCTCGAAGGAGGATTGGGTCCTTCTGGACGCTATGGGCTGCGGACCGACACCCGCTTGTTCTGGAAAGTTCCTTACAATGCACAAAAGGCGTCGTAAACGATTGGCTACTCGATCTTTAGTTCAAGATATTGCAATACTTGATGACATTCATCATGGGCAAGTCCAGGTGAGTCGCGTTCCAAAAGGAATTCATAAAGTATTAATTATTTTCTATTATAAAAAGAAATATATATTTTAGCTTCTTTGGTTTGAATAGTGTTCTGTAGTTAGTATCCTTCTAAATTGCTATAAATTTATGAAGTGTATAGTATATGTTTTAAAAGAATTCCCAAAGGTATAGAAAATGTATTTTTGCAATAAGTTATAGGGAAATAAAAACAACATACCAAAAAATTAATAATTCATTTTAAGATAATCTAGATACGAAGATAAGATTAGCTTAAAATTAGTAGTTTCCTTATAAAAAAAATGTGTCAAGTGGTACATAATCCTCAAGAGTTTATTGACATTCTACAAACAAATAAGTAGTTAATACATTTTATTATGTAACCAAATAGATTTCTGTTGGATTATAAATCATTATAAGTAGGACAAATAAATGGAGTAAATTAATAAAAAAAAAAGATCAAATATTAAATCATTCACTAACTAGGATTTATCATCTGATTACATTACTTACGACGTCATAATAATTAATAGATGAATAGTTCAAAAAATCGATATACGATTTAATGCCAATGAAGCCATATATACAGGGTGTTTCATAGTAAAAGATACATACGTTAACTGTAGGTGTGTGGAAATTTAAATGGGATGTACACATAAAATGTTTAGTAAAAAAGTTATGATCTGTATTGAACAAATTTAAATGCATCAGAAAAATATTAGATATTACTCAATTAGAAATGGTGTCTTATTCATTGGTATACTCACATATCCAGTACGGAATTACAGCTTGAAAAGGCGCTTATAATAATCATATCATATCAAAAAATTTATTAAAATAATATATAATAAAAAAAATTATTATCCAACAACCTCTCTTTTTTAGAGAGTAAATTACTTGACGTTAAACAACACAACACAAAAAAAGACACGAGCTATTAGATATTCCACACGAACCCAATATAAGACATAAATTAAGAATGAAAACGCACAGTAAAAGTTTACAAATCAGCAACCCAAAAAAGTATGTTATATATAGCGCCTGAAAAAATTAAAGAGAAAAAAATTCAAAAATTTTAGTAAAAATATTAAGTTTTGGTTAAAAAACTATCCGCGAAATAAGTTTAAATATTTATTTGAATGAAAGTTAATCTTGTCATCAATATTTTGTTCACCCACTCTCTCTCCTTAATTAATTTACTTATTTGATTTATTTGTAATATATCTATATCTAGGTAGCTATTATAAAAAAAATAATAATTTGAAATAATTGACTTTTTTAAAAAAAAAAAAGGAAAAATTTAGTATTTTCCCACATACTAGTCGTAAGACTTCAGTGAAGATATTTATTTTCCATCTTCATTTGGAAAAGTTAAAAAAAAAAATACAAAATATGTTAATTATAGACTTTGGAAAATAAAAAAAAATATTAATTATAAATGGGTCTATCCTATATTATCTCATTACCTATCTTTATCTTTGTTGGTTATAAGCACGTAGGGTTAGGTTTGGCCCAGAACACTGATGCCTCTTGGATCTATTGTATTCCCCTGCTTTCCCCGAATTCAAGTACTATCTTTGGAATAGTCCTGTGTCTTTGGTTAGTTTTAATAAGTTCCCTACCAAGTGTTGCTGGATCGTTCTTTCCGGTTCTAGGCTGAAAAGGATGAAACATCGCCTTGTAAGAGTTTCGCATTCGAAGATCACATGGTATGAGGTTTCTTCCTTTGTTTCTTTCCATCACATGAAGAAGTTTCAGTAAGCCATGCCCCTTTAGTAATCCCACAATGGTGGATATCTGAGGCCTTGCGAGTTGTAGTGCCTCAGTAGCCATGCGTGGGTTTGATCCCCTTACTGATTTGTGCCCTCTTATCTGTTGCCAGTGAATTTGGGTTTTGTGGTTATCCACCTGTCCACTGCCTGTCGAGCAGAGGTTTTGCTTATCCCAAATACAGGTTCGGGTTCTGTGAATGGTAGATCTAATCCCTCTTTGGCGAGTTCATCAGCCTTTTCATTTTCTTGGATACCTTTATGCCCTGGTACCTACGCTAGTTTTACCTTGTTGTGGGTTACCAGATCATTTAGTATTCCAAGGCAGTTCCAGACAAGATTTGACTTGATAATGTTTGAATCAAGAGCCTTTAAGGCTGCTTGGCTATCTGAGAGAATTAGGATGGTTTGTTTTTAAATTCTCTCGTACACACAATTCGGTTGCATATATTTCAGCCTGAAATACAGTGATATGTTTTCCCAGTGAGACAATGTTATAGAATTTGGGTTTAACTCCATGTACGCCAGGGCCTGTTCCCTTGTGAGTTTTAGATCCATCCGAATACCATACGAGACCGCTAAGCAAGTATTTATCTATCTCCTTATTTACCTCGTTCCAGTTGCAGTTGACCTGGAAGAGTCTGTTGAAGGTTAGGAGTGGTGTCCTGTGATCTGATCTCATGTTTAATATAGAATGATTTACTTTATGTGTTATTCTGGTGTTTTTTATATGTTCCAGTTGTTGGAGATTTCCAGTCTGTATGCACTCATTCTGGCCTCTCCCTTTATGACTAGGTCAAGGGGTGGAAGATTTAGAAAGATTTTCATAGAGGCGGTCGGTATACTTCTCAGTGATCCTGTAATACAAAGGCATGTCAACCTCTGAATTCTTGTGAGGATATTGAGGACTGTTTTCTGGTTTACTTTTGGCCACCAAACAACCGCTACATAAGTTATCATGGGTCCTGTTATTGCCAAATATAGCCAGTGGATCATTTTTGGTTTTAATCCCCATGTTTTTCCAAACGACTGTCTTCCTAGAATGAGAGACATTTTACATTTTTTGGTCACTTTTTGTAAGTGTTCGTTCCAAGTAAGTTTGCTATCTAGGATTAGACATAGATATTTTACTTGGTTCGTTTTGTTTAGCCTTTTATTATCTTTTATTATACCTACTTTATATTTGGTATTTTTTTACAATCTGTAATTTATTTTTTATTTTAGGTATAAATTATTCTTTAAATTTATTTTATTTGATTTTTTCTCATAAAATAGATAATCATCATATTTTGCCAATAATTAAAAAACTTTTAAATAAAATTTAAGCACTGTCGTTAATAAAAAATTTACTAAAACAATAAATATTAAATTACAGTACTAAACATATAAAAAAATAATAAATAAAAATAAATGAAAAGAGGAAGTATAATAAAAAATTTAATCGTAATTATTAATGATTAAAATTTAATATTTATTTATAAATAAAATTATTATTAATGTACTAAACATTATTATTAATATTGTGCTCACTGATAACGATTGAATCTGGCAGAAAGACGATCTGTTTTTATTAAAATGTTTGAATATTATAGGAAAGGCTAGTCGATCGATGTAAGTCAATTTAATTTTCTTTAAAATTATGTGAGTTAATAAAGGGTTAATAGTTGAAAATAACCTGATAATACATTTTTTAATTTCTATTCTCATAATAATAAATATAAAGTTTATCTACTGAAAGAAATAAAACACAAAATGCAAATGGGTACAAATAATAATCCTAATAAACAAATAACCTCTGAGACTTGAATAAAAGTTTGTAATGTTGTGTTTGACGGTAACCGTACATACATGGCAATTAAAAAATAAAGCAGCCTGGATTCATAAAAGAATATAATGTCGTGATACAGTTTTCAACCAGTCCTGTCTCAATACCTACAGTTGTTAGTATAACCATTGTATTCAGATATCCTAGTATATCAACCTCATGGAGGAAGGATTATTAAGAGTTGCCGCGTCTTTGTAGAAATTTGGCAACAAGTTTGCTTGCAGCGACCTGTGGGTGCGGGTGGTTGAACTATTCCTACTCTGTAGGTAACGTAGTTACCTATATTGTTAACTACGCTATTACTCTGTCAGTAATGTAGTTAACCGTAATATATTTAATTTGAAAATTGGCGGGATTCTTTTCTACTAAAAGGAGAATTTACTTTAGCAATTATTATTTTCTATCTAATACGAAATATAACCATGCAAAATTTCAGATCGTTTTTTTCGTGTAGGTAAACGTTAAATATGTTCCTCTGAAGCCACTTTTTCAAAATTTGGCCAAATTTTGATGGCAAAAAATAACAAAATTTTGTTTGCGTAAAGATTCTCTCAATTTTTGAGAAAATAATTAAATCAAAGGTACATATTTTTCATTCACAAAAAAATAAAATAAACTATAGAAATGTTCATGGCTCTATTTTGTATTGGTTAGAAAAAGATAATTGCTGAAGTAAATTTTCCTCTTAATTATAATTAAAATGTTGCTTTTTTATTATGAATTATGAAATGCCAATAAAAATGTAAAATTTTATGACATATAATTATGAGGTGTAAAATAAATTCCATACAAAGCTTTATATTATTATATTTACTAAAAATTCCCAAGAAAAATAAATCAAATTAATGGCAATACAACAATAATAATAGATTTTCCTACACTTCACCCTACATAAGTTAAACCCCAAGAAGAGGAGCTTGTGAGTGGCAAGAATAGTTATTATTTGCTATGGCACTCTGGGCCAACTTAAAAATAACCGATAGAGCCATTTTATTTGCAGGTGAGGAAAACTCGGATAACCCGACCTACCATCATTATTTGTATATATTAGTTTATTTCCATACAAAGTACAATCTATTTTTACAAATATTTACTAGTTTCTATAAAAAAATACTCCTAATTTCACGAAAATGTTATTCTCTAAAGATTATCTAATGAGTTTGACTTAAAAACAAATTCTAGTATTATAAATTATCTCCAAATATTTATTATCTTTAAGAAAGTTATTCTAATATAACAAATATTACATTATTATTTAGGTGTACGTTAACTATCTCCGGTTAAAATAATGAAAATCCCAAATTGCAAAACAAATAATTCATGTACTTGATTTGAAAAACTAATGCCTAATAAATTTTCTAAATAAAAAAAATATTCTTGAATCTTGGGAAATAAGATAAAAGGCA